TTGCTATTTTTATTTTATTTATTATTATTGACCCTTAGTGAGTGTCAAATTCGGCCATCTCGTGTCTACCATTTCGAGATTAGGCTTGATACTTAGTGGGTACACGTTGTTTACGTACTCATACTACACTTGCTGCACTTTTTGTGCAGGACCTGAGGCAAGTACTAGTGGAGGACCTATCATCTTACACCCACGTTATCCAGAGGCGTAGTGGCGCGCTGCCTTTCTGAGCCGTTCTGCAGCTACCGGTGTCTCTTCTTGCNACCTCGGCAGAAATCGTGCCTAATAATAATAATAATTACACGATACATTGATGGTTTATTGCAGCTTGTAAAGCTAATTCATAAATTGGAAATTTATTGGAATTGAAGGAATTTAATTAATATATTGAGAATTGTTGCATTTGAAGGAATTTAATTATTTCTGCTGGTTAAAGAAAATCATTGTAAATTCTATAAATCATGTTGATCTAGATATTGCTATTTTTATTTTATTTATTATTATTGACCCTTAGTGAGTGTCAAATTCGGCCATCTCGTGTCTACCATTTCGAGATTAGGCTTGATACTTAGTGGGTACACGTTGTTTACGTACTCATACTACACTTGCTGCACTTTTTGTGCAGGACCTGAGGCAAGTACTAGTGGAGGACCTATCATCTTACACCCACGTTATCCAGAGGCGTAGTGGCGCGCTGCCTTTCTGAGCCGTTCTGCAGCTACCGGTGTCTCTTCTTGCATTTACATTCTGTCTATTTTATTTCAGACAATATTTGGAGTTTTGTATAATCTACTAGATGCTCATACACTTGTGACACCAAGTCTTGGCACACACATTGGTAGAATTTGGAATTGTATTATTTTCTTGGATTTAAGTTAAATAGTATCTTTTCAAATTTCTTTAATATTTCTAGAAAAATAATAAAATTACTTAGAAAATTATTCTGAAAATAATTGATATATATTTAATTTATTTGTTGGCTTGCCTAGCTGTAGTGTTTGGCGCCATCACGACCTATAGGTGAAATTGGGTCGTGACAACATGAGAGTGATGCGTAAGATGAGCAGGGGAAGAGCGACTGGGCCAGACGAGATCCCGGTAGAATTCTGGAGGTGGAGTACGATGATTCCTTTGTACAAGAACAAGGGGTGATATCCAAAACTGCAATAACTATAGGGGTATCAAGCTGTTGAGTCATACTATGAAAATTTGGGAGAGGGTGGTGGAAGTCATGGTGAGGAAGAGTGTGTCTATTTCCGAGAATCAGTTTGGATTTAAGCCGGGCCGATCGACTACGGAAGCCATTCATTTGGTGAGGAGATTGGTAGAGCAGAATAGGGAGAGAAAGAAGGATCTACACATGGTGTTTATAGACCTTAGGAAGGCGTACGATAAAGTTCCGAGGGAGGTTCTGTGGAAATGTTTGGAGGTTAGGTGTTTATAGACCTAGAAAAGGTGTACGATAAAGTTCTGAGGGAGGTTCTGTGGAGATGTTTGGAGGTTAGCGGCGTTCCGGTAGCTTACACTAGGGTAATCAAGGACATGTATAATAGTGCTAAGACTCGGGTGAGGACAATGGGAGGTGACTCAGATCACTTTCCAGTAGTGATGGGGTTGCGCCAGGGATCGGCTCTTAGCCCATTCTTATTTGCTCTGGCGATGGATGTGCTGACGCGGCACATTCAAGGGGAGGTGCCATGATGCATGTTATTTGCCGATGACATAGTGCTGATTGACGAGACAAGGAGCGAGGTCAATGCGAGGATGGAGGTCTGGAGGCAGACCATAGAGTCTAAAGGTTTCAAGTTGAGCAGGACCAAAACGGAATACTTGGAGTGTAAGTTCAGTGACGGGACTCGTGAAGCGGACGTGGAGGTGAAGCTTGATACCCAAGTCATCCCGAGGAGGGGTAGTTTCAAGTATCTCGGGTCTATAATCCAAGGTAACGGGGAGATTGATGATGAGGTCTCCCACCGTATCGGTGCGGGGTGGATGAAATGGAGGCTCGCATCCGGTGTTTTGTGTGATAAGAAGGTGCCACCAAAACTTAAGGGTAAGTTCTACAGAGTGGTGGTTAGACCTACTATGTTGTATGGGGTAAGTGTTGGCCAGTCAAGAACTCCCATGTTCAGAGGATGAAGGTAGCAGAAATGATGATGCTGAGATGGATGTGTGGGCATACCAGGAGAGATAAGATTAGGAACGAAATTATTCGGGACAAAGTGGGAGTGGCCCCCGTGGAGGACAAGATGCGGGAGTTGAGGCTGAGATGGTTCGGGCACGTGCAGAGGAGGAGTACGGATGCGCCTGTTAAGAGGTGTGAGAGGATGGCCGTGGCGGGACTGAGAAGGGGTAGAGTAAGGCCGAAGAAGTATTGGGGAGAGGTGATTAGGCAGGATATGGCGCTACTTCAGCTCACTGAGGACATGATCCAGGATAGAAGGGTGTTGAGGTCGAAGATTAGGGTAGTTGGCTAGTAGGTAGTCGAGAGTTTCCCGTTCTTTTTTAGTAGTATTAGTAGCTCCCTTTTTTTCATTCGCTATGTGTATCGTATGTTCCAGTTTGTTACTGTTTGATGTTATTTTCTGTTATTGGTTTCGTTGTTGTTGTTGTTGTTGTTATTGTTATTGTTGTTACTATAGTTGTCTTTCTCCCTTTTTCCTTATCGTCCTTTGTCCCCCTATTCTTTCTTTCTTTTTCCTCTTTCTTCGTTTCTTCTTTTCTCTTTTCACATTTTCTTGAGCCGAGGGTCTATTGGAAACAACTTATCTCCCTCGCCAGGTAGGGGTAAGGTCTGCGTACACATTACCATCCCCAAACCCCACTTGTGGGATTATACTGGTATGTTGTTGTTGTTCTTGTTGTTGTGCTTCCTCAAACACTTGTGTAGCATTTTAATTCTTAATAATATACTATCCTTTTTACTTTGTGTTCTAACGCTCTTTTTATGAAATAAATTTATGTACCCTAAGATTTTTTTTAACTTGAATAAGAATTTTACTCATATGATGAATTTAAAAAATAATTGAATTGGGCTCTCTTGCTAAATAATTAATTTAAAATTTTAATTATTTAGTTTTAACATAAAAATAATTTATTTTATGTTGATTCAGATCTTAATATTAGTTCATCTTTTGTTTTGAATATTTAATCTTAATTATAATTTTATCCACCATAAATTTTATTTTCAAAGAATAAAAGATTGATATAACATTTCACTTTTAGATCGTTATGTTTGTAGAATCATTACTGGTATTGACTCTTACCAACCATTTTTTTTCTCTTTATCACACATTTATATTCTTAAATATTTTATTAGTTATTGTTTAATAATTGGGTATTTTTAAATATTACACGAAAAATTGATAAAAAAAATATTATTTGAGTAGGAAAATAGTTTAAATATAAAATAAAAATATATTAACGTGGGGGTATCTTTTTCTCAGTTTCAACTCTTTATACAGTCCATTTAATATTACTTTTATTTTTTATTGGTATTGGACATTATAAAGTGGTAATGTACTGCCAATACAGAGGATTCTTATGAAATTAACTTTATTAAACTTTCCTACATATTTTTAATAATAATAATTTAATAGACAAAATTTTATTAATTTTAAAAATTAAAAATTAGCATAGAAGATATTGTAGTCCAAAAAATAGGTTATTAAAGTTATGTTCTTTTCCTATGAGTTTTTTCGCTTAATATTTTAGGGCTATTTTGGTATATTAATATTGTATTTATGCTTTTATAATAATATAGTCTCTCCTTTTTCTAAATGAATTTGGACGATATAATGCATTCTCAAATTAAATTAGTAATAGGACATTATAATACATTTTTAAATTAAATTAGTAATAGGAATTTTTAAGAAGTATATCCTAAAAGTAATAGAATTACATGACTAAAGATATTTACTTGTTTAATTTTATATGAATTAGACATCCCGAAAGTAATTATACTAATAGGATTCCTAAAGGTAATGTAGGATTCCTAACGTGTAGTATTATGTCCTAAAACTAATAGGATTATAAGGCTAATATCTAGAATCCGATTATGTCCTTTTATTATGAGTTATTATGCTTAATATCATAAGGTTATTTTTGTAAACCGGCATTATATTCATGCTTTTATAATAATATAGATTAGTAGTAATAGAAAATGGCAAGAAGAGTAAAAGTAGGTTGTATGTAGCTTTCGTTACTAATGTGTAAGGCAAAAATCTTTTCCTTTTTTTAGGAGATGGCCTGAGGAAAAAGTAGACCACTATAAAAAATGGAGGTATTGTTTGTGTCAATACCATAAAGTGTCCTTTTCTTTTTTGACATTTTCCTCATCTTTGATATATTTTATACAATGGCCAATTATAAGCTAATCAAAGGCAGGTAAACGTGTTCCCAATTCCATCGTATGAACAAGTACATGAGCTGTACACCTCAAATATACTCTCAAGAATAAACAAAGGGTGCTTCAAAATGATATAATAAATTTAGATGAACTAAAGTTGATGAAAAGAAAGCAGTTTTGCGAGAATACATGTATCTTTTCAGCATCTTGGGATTCCACGGCTATCTTGGCATTTTTAACGCTTATCAAAGCCTCATCATCAGCAACAGATGCCTCTAGCCCTGTCATAACAGAGAAGACCATGACTCTAATAGACTAGTTGCAGACACAACCGCAGAAAAGACCAATTTTTCCATAAACAAAAAGAACCGAGGCTTGACTATAATCACCTGAACCAGCAGCAAATACTGGCTTGACCAAAGATCTTAGGTATCCTCGTGAGAAGATACAGTGATTCAATAACCTGGAACCACCATCTTGCATTAAGTGATAACTCTCTAAATGCAGTCATTGAGATGAGAAACCCTACTGAAATAAGATAGATAAATTACCATAGCTGTACCAGAATAAGAATGGATACCTGAAGTTCTTATGTGAGATTAAAAAGTTCTACAGGCCTAAGGTTCTTAAGAAATACAGCAGTTAGCAGGCCAAGTGTTAATCTCTAATGTTCTTTATCCATCAAGAATTCCAAGTCTTCATCGTGTTGTCTTTTCAGTATACGAGCTATCAAAATTCTATTGTGGAGGAAAATAAGACAAGTTCGGATATCGTGTCTTTCTTTGTTAGCAAGGTTCCTAATTTAACAAATTGTAGGAACGTCCCTTGCAACTTCTAAAAGAGAATCCTCGAGTTTCTTTTCTCCCACTTTCAGATAAACACACTATTTTAATGCATTATCCATCACAGAGTCACTTTTTAGTCTCGTCAATTTCCTTGAACAGTCTCAGAAATACTACACCTCACAAATACTACATCATAACCTGTAACAGATCAGCAGGACACTTCAGCTATACCCAAGCGTAGTCCAAGAGAGAGTCAATTGACAAAACACCTGGACCAATATGTGGTCCCCAATTCAAAAGGAACATTGCCTCTGCCAAAACCGTTAGAGAAGGGATAAGGATATTCCTAGTACCGAGAAGCATATATAGCAGAGGACCCACCTAGTAGAAGGCATGGAAGAAGTTGCTTTTTAATTTTCTTAGCTAAGTTTAGCAATCTGGAACCTCCCTTTTTTGTTTTTTGCTTTGTTTTGCTTTATATTACCTAAGTTGAAAATTACAGTTCTGTAATTTCTCCCTTTTTAGTTGAATATCAGTTCCCTGTTACATAACCCCTCTGCAGTAGCATGACGTATGAAAAATTAAAACAGAATGAGTTTATAAGCTGCACAATTTGTCCAAGTTGTACCAAAGCAAATCGGATGACAACTAAAAAGTCAGAGGTTCATTTTGTGATAGGGAGCAGAGCTGGTCAAATTTCTTGCGTATATTTCGGTAAACAAAGGATTCATATACCCTACCTCAACTAGTTTAGGTATTGACTGATTTATTTGGTGAGATAACTTTCTGAACAAGCTGATCGGAAAATTATGATAAATAGATAAAAAGAATCCGCAAAACTTAGAGTTCAAGATAATGGTTGTTGATAAGATAAGAAGTGACAGTTCTTGGCTAATTCTTTCTATAACTTATTACCTTGCCACATTTTCTCTGTTATTCTTCTGTCTGATTTCCTTCTAGCACATCTATTTCTTACAGCAACACTACGATTAGACATTTTAGCCACTCTCTAACACTATGTTTGTATCTTAAAACCTTAACCTTTCCAATTATCAATCTTATAGTTTGTCGAGTAGAATTCCACAAAAATTTTCTCGCTAAACTAATGAACTAAATTATCATGATTAGCACATATTAAGATTCATATGTTTGTCACCAAGCATGCGGAATGTTAGAGTTCAGGCGTAATAATGAATTCCAGTTGTCATCGCATGTGTATTATCGTGTTATTGCATTTCTACAGCAATTTTACTTGAGTACATGATGCAGTTGAAAACTTTAAAAATAAATGTCTATAAAGATATGAAAACCAATATCCTGCACCATAAAGCTGAAATCCTTATGAAGTTTTATATGATTTACTAATAAAATTACAGGAATTGCTTAGTCATGCCATTATAGGAAGAGCGGTTAAAGAGAGCGGTTTTCCATTATCTGGGCTAGACGATGATAGATAAACATTACGAAAGAAGGAAACCTGGAAATTATAAGCGGAGAGTGAAGCATGTGGTAGACAAGACTTCAAAGGAAAAGCCACTTAATCAAAGGTGGTAGAGAAGTTGTTTACCCCTGATATGTAACTGCTGTTGCCGGATAAATTGCAGCATAGCTGGACAAGACATTCTTGGAGATAACCCTGACACCAGTGTGCTGTGAAAATAAAGCACAAAGAGACCAATAATGCACTAGTAATCAGCTCAAAAGGGAATACTGTATGATGGCCAACAAATGATAAGTCATAATATTTTCTTCGAAGAAAACACACACTTGTAATAATTCAAATAGAAAAACACACAAGCAATTCAGCCTAGTTGTTTGTTTGTTACAAAACCTACTATTTACCCCGTCCCGTCCATCTATTTGCTGCTAAACAACACCCCTTAGTTGAGTGGGCTTTCTATATACAAGAAGGCCATTGTTTTTTAAAAAAAAACATAAAGAGCTTTAAATTATCTGAAAAAGGCTAAAGTGATAAAAAAAAATCGGAAAAGAACTCAATGAACTAGTCGGTTGCAGATTCAGACCAAAATGTAAGCAGTAAACAAAAAATACTAATATGTTGAAACGCATTTGGAATCTTAAAGAACAAATACAATGTTGAAAATAAACTAAATAGTAACATTACAAGTATTGAAATTTTTTAAGAGAATTGATGCATTTGAAGAAGAAGATGAAGAAAAACAATAAAAGCTAAGAGTATTTTGGTTGCCCTTACTGGAGAGTGGATAAGTAGGTGGGGGGAGGGTGAAGCCATTGCCACTGCGCTCATTGCTGCCATGGAAGCAAAGAGAGAGCCGTTAACTTCTAATCTTGTTCGGTTTGGGTTTTATATTTATCGGGTCGGGTTGGGGTTGGGGTGGGGTTTCAGTCCAGTGATTTATTCTAACTTTAAACTGTTTCTTTTTGGCTTTCAAAATGCAATTGAAAATATTTTCCATAACAAATATTGTATGTGAAAGTACTTCTTCGTTGGGAAAAATATTTTATGAATAATTATTCAGTGTTTGGATGGATAATGATTAGCCATTGTTCCATATTATTATCCCATTTTTTAGCCAACTAGTTAAATTAACCGCGCTTCGCGCAGGTAATCTTTTTATAAATTCAGTTGACATAAAAGAGGGGAAAAAAATTAAATTAATCAAAAGTAAACAAAAAAGAAATATATAATACATACAAATGAAAAATTTGAAACAAAAATATACAAACAAACAAATACGTACAAAAAAATATCAAAATAAAAGTATCACGTACTTCATGTATTTATAATGACACAACTCTCGTCCCTAAAAAAATACGACTAAATTTATTTTTTCCTTCACACTAATAGAGTTTCACATCCTATAAACTTTATCTCTAAATTACTATCCATTCATCCTGTTTTAGGTAGCAACAAACTTACATGGATCAATTGTGAATCACGCGAATATTGGGTAACACTCATATGCTTTCTTGGACTTTAGTACTCTAGCCTGCTATTAGATTCTATAACACCAGTTGTTTGCCCTATTGCTCCAACAAAAAGCAAGTTAAAGGAAGCTCAATATACACTTCAAACTCTATATTGTATACAAATAAATATATTAAAGAAAATGAAGAAGCATAGACATTAATACAACTAATTATCCGATTTAATAATAAAATAAGAACAAACGGTTAGGCATATGAATAGAACCAAGAGAATATCATAAATTAATTACATATAATAAATATATATTCTCAACATAAAGGTAATAAGAAAGCACCGCACTAAGATTCAAATATATAAAGGTTGAAGTTTAATTCTTTGTTAAGTTGTTGTACTAAAGTTTGACGCACAACAATCTTGAAATGGAACAACATGGAGAAAGGAGCAAGCTTGCCATCCACAGTAGTACTTTCAGCTCCAAATCCTTTGTCTTTTTCATCTACTGCATTCCACGAATCAAAATAATAAAGGGCATCATATCAGCGGCGATAAAGAAGCTTTAAATAGGACTAATGCTGAAAATATAAAACTTCAAAAATTCTAAGGGAACCTTCCACCATATATATGTCACGACCCAAACTAACCATATGTACGGTGTCGTGATGGCACCTAGTCTTTACGACTAGGTAAGCTTAATATTATGAAAAATATAAAGAAAACACAACATCTTAAAGATAAACAACATATTATGAATAGCCAAGAGTAGTATCACTCGACATATACAAAATAATTCNCTATAGGCGAGGGACTAGAAGGGGACTCCGAAGATCTGCGGACGCAAGCAGAAGTACCTTGAAGTCTCCTAGAATCAGTAGCACGCACTAACCCCAAGGCTGATAGCTCGTACCTGGATCTGCACACGAAAACATGTGCTTGAAAGGGCATGAGTACACCACAATAGTACCCAGTAAGTGCCAAGCCTAACCTCGGTCGAGTAGTGACGAGGTCAGGTCAAAGCCCTATCGGAGTAAATATAATAAATTAAATAGTAAAAGATATAAGCAAAATTTACGGTAATGCAGTTAAAGAAATTCTCGAAAATTTAACAGTTAAGGGAGCCCTCGACTCAGAACGGATTTTCCGGGATACCGTCCCGTAATTCCGAATGAATATGCAGTACAGGAGGATCTCCCGGAATACGTCCGTAGTCCCAAAGTAAATATGCAGTGCTGGGGGATCTCCCGAAATACGTCCGTAGTCCCAAAGTAAATATGCAAGACAATGGGATCTCCCGAAATACGTCCGTAGTACCAATTTAAATATGCAAGACAGGGGGATCTCCCAGAATACGTCCGTAGTCCCAATTTAAATATGCAACGCAAGATGAAAATTTATACTGAACACAGACAAAGAAAATAGGAATTTAACTAAGCATGGCGCACAGAATGTCAAGTAGGCAGTTAAAATACGTAAGCATACTTTTCTAGTCTAAACTAAACAATTAAGCATATTAGTGCAATTTAATAAGAGGAACAATTTATGATTAAAAAAAAGGATAAATGGGATTTTTGCAATAACAGCCTGTGTACGTACTCGTCACCTCACGTACACGGCGCTCACACACCAAACAATATCGAAATATCCTAAGGGAAAAGTTTACAACACAAGGTTAAGCAAGCCACTTACCTCGAACCGCTCAAATCACCTTGATAACACGTTCTTGCCACGAGTATCCGACTCCAAATGGCCTGAATCTATTCAAATAAATTGCATAATGTAAATATAATTACAAGTAACTAATTTAGCTAATTAATTCGAAGCTAGAGCGTGAAATTAGGAAAAACGCCCAAAAAGTCACCCCGGGCCCACGTGTCGAAATCGGATAAAAATTATAATTTATAAACACCCATTCACTCACAAGTTCACTCGAACAAAAATCATCTAAAACCGACGTCAAATTCCCATTCAAATCTTGGATTTTCAATTGGGGAACCTTTTCCCCCATTTCCAAACTTTTACCCTCAAATTCCTTAATTA